TTTATTTGTTAAATTTATACCCCGCCCTCCCCCGCAGGGCTCAGGGCGGCTTACAAGGCAAGAAACTTGCTCATAAAAACATCAAATAGTTTAGTATAATTAAAAACATAATATAGGATTTAAAACCCAATCAACCAATAAAATGCTCAAACTAAACAGCATCCCTTCAAAAGTGTCGGAGAGGACAAACCACACACCAAAACATTCCCCAGTAGGCATTGCATAGTAGATGTTAAACAGATATTCCACCTACCCTTCTAGGGCCCTCACCCCCCGCATTGATGTTAATGTAGCGGGGTGGTGGTGGTGGCGGCCCCTAATCGAAAGCCTGGTGGAAGAGCTCCGTCTTACAGGCCCTGCGGAACTGCACCAGGTCCCGCAGGGCCCGGACCTTGGGCAAGCCATACTTCTTTTGGGGTCAGGAAGTAATTCTTCTCCAGGCCCGTTTGGCCAGGGATCCTGGAGGCTTTTTGTCATCTTCTGGGCATGGAACAGAGGTCACTGAGGGTGAGGAGGGGGAGGTATTTGTAAATTTCCTGCATTATGCAGGGAGTTGGTCTAGATGACCCTGGAGGTCCCTTCCAACTTTATGATTCTATGACTCCATGTAACTTTGCAAGTCTGCTGCCCAGAGGTCATTTCGTAGAAAAACAGGTGCAGGAGCTCATTAGCATAACTTATTTGCATATGCCACAGCCCCTGACATTACCGGAAGTGTGTCAGAAGGCAACACCCACCACTCAGGCTCCACTGGACTGTTTTGGATTGCTAGCTATTGGGGGGGGGGACACGTGCAGATCTGCCCTCACAGAGGAGGGAGAGCTTGTACCTGAACAAAACTTGGTCTCAAAGGTGCCACTGGACTGTTTTGGATTGCTAGCTATTGGGGGGGGGGACACGTGCAGATCTGCCCTCACAGAGGAAGGAGAGCTTGTACCTGAAGGGGGGAGGAGGGGGGCTCTGCAACTTACCAGGCTGCTTCTTGCTCCTCGTGGTCCGACTGAGGGCTGCTGGGAGCAGGGGGCGGGGCTTGTTGCATGTGCCCGCCCCCTGGGCTCCTTACTGCCGGAGCTCCGCTCCTGTGCGCTCCCGCAGGAAATGACCCCTGCTGCTGCCACATGTAGTGCCAGCTTTGCTATTTCCCAGCCTTGTGGTTTCCTGGAGGTACCAAGTCCAGAGAATCCAGCACTCCGGCTTCCTTCCCAGCCACACTGCAAACTCACCTTTGAAAAAAATCCTGATGCTTCTCTGGAAATTACCCCCCAAATCATCTGGTATTACATGACTGGCTTTGAGCCACCAGGACAAACAGCTATGATTCACCCATGCTTTCAGCTGGATTTTATCTCTTTGCCATGACCTCCCCCCCCCCTTTTGTGGTGCTTGCTTTTATGCTGACTTATATTGCTACAGACATTGCCGATATCTTAGCTTGTTCGGGCCCTCGCCCTAAGAAATACGTTAATTGTCCTGGTTCTATTTTAAAGTGCATTTGTATTGCTTTACTTCATGCTGTTAGTGTCTTCAGACAGATTCTAGAGAATGTGGGATGTAACTATGGGAATAAATAAACTGACTGCAAGAGAAGCCGTGTCTCAGCGGCAGAGCATCTGCTTGGCATGCCGAAGGCATCCAGTTTCAATCCCCAGTAGCATCTCTAGCCAAAAGACTTCATCCGATTTCTGCTGCCAGTCTCAGTACATAATACTGGCTGTGACATTGTTGGCCCTCCAGAAGAACTGGTTGGCCACTCTGTGAGACAGGACGCTGGACTAGATGGACTATTGGTCTGATCCAGCAGGGCTCTTCTGATGTACTTATGAAGCCCTCAGCCTCTAGGCCCTGATGTTGGCCCTCCAGAGGAACTGGTTGGCCACTGTGTGAGGCAGGATGCTGGACTAGATGGACCACTGGTCTGATCCAGCAGGACTCTTCTGATGTTCTTATGAAGGCCTCACCCTCTCTTGCCCTGTTTTTGGCCCTCCAGAGGAACTGGTTGGCCACTGTGTGAGACAGGATGCTGGACTAGAAGGACCCTCACTGGTCTTATCCAGCAGGGCTCTTCTTATGAGGGGAAGGCCGCGGTCTCTCTGCCCTGTTGTTGGCCCTCCAGAGGAACTGGCTGGCCACTGTGTGAAGCAGGATGCTGGACTAGATGGACCACTGGTCTGATCCAGCAGGGCTCTTCTGAAGTTCTTATGAAGGCCTCAGTCTCTCTTGCCCTGTTTTTGGCCCTCCAGAGGAATTGGCTGGCCACTGTGTGAGACAGGACACTGGACTAGATGGACCATTGGTCTGATCCAGCAGGGCTCTCCTGATCTTCTTATATTATTATGGATCAATAGTCTGATTCTGTATAAGGCAGCTTCATGTGTTCAGTTTCATTCTTTTAAGTTTCTTATTATTAATAACAATAATGATAATAACAATATTTAATTTCTCTGAGGATTTGGTTGTAGTTAGGAAGCAATCCCTGCAGGTCCCTCATTCAGCAACATTTACCTTTGCGGGCCATTATACGAGAGAAAGACACTCTTTGTTCTTTCAGACAACATTATGCTAGGAAAGGCATCCTGTCCCATAAAATATCATCATGGTTGTGGGGAGCCATATTAAAGCCATCATTATGTGATCACTTACGAGTACTGCCTGGAAACGGGAAACCTGTGGAAGGTGTAGGGTTCCAAATCGATATTGACGGTAGATATGAACCCATGAATGAGACGGTCTCCAGACTTGTAATAATTCGATAACATGATATTGCCCTTTTGCAAACGCAAGAGGCATTTTGCTTTCCGTGTCTCACAGGCGGCCTGGGGCAGAAGCAGCAGGAGGAGGAGGAGGAGGAGGATCATTCTGGGTCTTGCGTGCATTTGCAGGTACTGGTGGTGGAAAGTGCCCTCAAATTGCAGGCGACTTACAGCAAGCCCATCAGGTTTTCAAGGCAAGAGACATTCAGAGGTGGTTTGCCATCGCCTGCCTCCAACACAGCAACCTTGGGTTTGCTCGGTGGTCTCCCATCTGTGTACTAACCAGAGCCAACCCCGCTTAGCTTCCAAAATCTTTAAAGTAATAGGAACGAGGAGAAGTCACAGACAAAAAAGAAGAGAAGAGATTGGATTTATCCCCCACCCTTCACTACCCAAAGGTGTCTCAGAGTGCCTTACAAACTCCTTTCCCTTCCCCTCCCCACAACAGACACCCTGTGAGCAGTGTTCCCTCTAAGCTGAGTTAGTGTGAGCTAGCTCACAGTTTTTTAGCCTCTGGCTCACACATTTTTGTCTTCACTCAGGAAGGATGGCTCCAGAAGCAAACTAATTTATGCAGTAACCAAATGGCTCGCTCACAACTTTAATGCCAGTAGCTCACAAAAAAGAATTCTTGCTCACAAGACTCCACAGCTTAGAGGGAACATTGCCTGTGAGGTAGGTGGGGCTGAGAGAGCTCTGACAGAAACTGCTCTTTTTCAAAAACAGCTCTTATCAGAACTACGGTTTGCCCAAGGTCATCCAGCCAGGTGCAAGTGGAGGAGTGGGGAATCAAACCCGGTTCTCCCAGATTAGAGTCCGCGCACTTCACCACGACACCAAAAAACAAACAAGCAAGAATAACTCCCCAGAGACAAAAAGTACCAATCATCAATGCATGAAACTATGGTCTAACAAAAATAAAATCTCATGTAAGCGCACATGAATATTCTAAATTACTGCAAAGATTCCACAAGAAATTACAAATATATCAAACACAGCATGAACTACAAAATTCTATAATGTAGAAAGCTTACAAAGACAATGCAACTGAATAGAATACGATCCAATGAACATGAGTTTTAAAGGAGACACAAGGAAGGTGACAATCAGACCCCCTCAGTCTATTATTCTCTTCACTAGATCTTAAGAAGGCACAACGAAGGC